GGTGGCGTATATATACTATATATACATCGCTGCGAAAAATCAACTCTCGCGCAGTTCTTGCCGAATGCATATTTTTTTCGGACGCTATTAAAATCGGCCGTCTAACAAATACACACGGAGAGTAGGTAGAGGACAAGAAACAAACGTGTATAATTAGTGGTTGCCGTAAGGTACACAACCGCGCGAGAATTCGAGAAAGAAAAAAATCATCTCACGTACGCGCGCTCGTACGTACCTACGTTAGAACAATTTCGTAGGTTGCGAAAACACAGAGAACCAAAGTGAATCACCGCGTGGAGATCGTGGTTTTCAATTTTGTTGATTAAAAAAAAAAAAAAAAAAAAAAATCCTAATTTACTCCTCTTAAAATAACATGACATTTTGAAAATTGCGAAAAAAGTCATCCTTCAATTATTTTTCTCATTTGTTTTTTGTCAAATATAAAAAAAAAGTGTATTATCGAATCGATTCCGCGCTGTTAATGGCGTTGCGCTTTCTACTCAGTTAAATAAATAAATGACAAATAAATAGGGGGAGGGGGAGGATGGTGGGTGACGCACACGCGCGCGCACGTTAACACGCAAGAGTTAACGCATGTGAGACGACACGTCTCCCATTCACGGAGAGTGCAAAGGGTGGTGGTGGTGGTGGACTTTTAAAGCCGTTTCGTGACGGATTTCGCTAAGTGATACCAATAACTCGGTGGACTAACAACGGGACGCACTCTTCGACGGAGGGATTCGACAGGGAGGGATATATAAGCGCCGAAGGACCACAGCCAATCCCGCGGGATGTTATCTAATCCAGCTGGATTTGTTGATTCTGCGTCTTGCGCCCGGCGAAAGCCCGATGAGGTTTTCGTGTAGCACGGGATTACCCCTATTTTCCGCGACCTAAACCTCACCCCCCCCCCGAATGCCGCCTGCACCCACCGTCTGCCGCACGTTGACGGAAACACGACACGTTTTCTTCGCGTTGAAACGAAGAAAAGGAAGACGACGTAGTAGTGACGAGGCGGCGACGGGAGGAAATCTCTGTTCTCTCGTTTGCTGAACGTAAAAAAAAAAAAAAAAAAAAAAAGTGATTTTTCCCCCGTCGCGGTCGATGCGCTCATCAACACTTGTCGTTGTATAACAACGACATAATAATATTGCGGAATTATACGTGTTATACGGTGCGATACAATATGCCATTGTACGGAGGCATAATAATTAAATCCGGAAGGTGTGAATTAACAGCCACATCGCAATGGCAAATAGCCTAATCGGAGGCGAACGTCCACACCGAAAAAATTATATTCTCGTAAGTAGAAGATTTTATACTTAAAAAAACCTTCTTAAAGATTTTAAATGATATTCTTCTGAAATTAAGAATATATTCTTTATTTAAGAATATAGTCTTTTTCGATAGTGAGATATATATGTTTTTCCACATAGAGGCTTTTTATATTCTAATCAGTATATATTCTTATCAATATTACTATTTAGAGGATTTTCCTCTTAAAATAAGAAACTCTTCTTGGCGCCTATTTTAGTATAAAATATACTTAAAGTAAGTGAGATATCCTCAAAACAAGAATACAATTTTTTCGGTGCACGTAAGAGGTCGACAAAGTTGTCCTTAGTCTTCGGAACAACGTCGCGCGCGCGCGCGCGCGTTATAAAAAAACGACGAAGATTTTTATCGACGGATTTTTTTGTTTCCTCGCTCTCTTCGCGAGCGTCCCAAAAACACCAATATATAACGTCGAAGCAATCGGGGAAAGCAAATTTTTTTTTCTTTTTTTTTTTTTTTGGAAAAAATCAATCGAGAATCTTTCACCGCGCGAAACGAACGTACGCGGTTCGCGGTTGAAGAGTTGAAAAAAAAAAAAACGGACAGATGGAAAAAAAGCGCTTCGTTCGCACGGCCGCGATTCGCGGGGATTTCGCGAAAACGAGAGAAATATTCTCGCGCGAACCGGAAACCGATAAACAAAGATGTGGGCCCCCTCTCCCCCTCCCCCGTACTTCTGCCCCGCGGTGCGCCACAGCTTGTGTGTCTCTTTCTCCCCGCGCGCCGGAGTATAACGCGCAGATTATTCTATTACACGTTACGTAAACACCGGGAGTACAAGCGGACGACGCGAGGACCCCCAGAGCGGCGCACGAGCCGAGCTCTCTCTCTCTCTCTCTCTCTCTCTCTCTTTCTCTCTGGGCGCTGTGCGCGATACTGTTTGCTCTGAAAATGCGTTATTGTTTCGCCGCGATAAAAAATTCAACGTTTGGATAATTACATCAGACCTGATCGAACGACGGTGAAGGGGGCGAGTGGTGGTCCGAGACGGGGAGCGGTCGCCCCGAGCGAATTTCCACTGGGTTACTGACTTACTTAGTCTCCGTCCGCTTTCGTTGAGCGCAGAGAGAAAGAAAAAAAAAAAACAAATTAGAAGAAAAAAGAAAGAGGACGGATTTGGCGGTTTAACGATCGATCTTTAATAAATCGTCAAATCTAATGAGGATGAATGCGATTTGTTTAAGGATATTTTTAAATCGACGTAGGAGGTCGTAAAGAGGAGATAAAGCGAGAAAACTGCGCTTCAAAGATGGCGCATTTAAATTCCACACGCGAGAGATAATCTTTTCACGTATTTAAAAAATATATCTTGGATCTTAAGACGCTTTCGGAAAATAAGCTGTTCAACTCTCCGCGATTGATGAGTTTTCTGAAAAGCGTAGCGACATTCACAAGCAGCGACTCTAGCGTCGCCCGATAATGCCGCGCGCGCGCGCGCGCGTGTGTGTGTGTGTGGTTTCTTTCTATCTTCGATGAACGCACACGTTCGTCCGCGCGCGGATCAAGCGAAAACAGAAATATATATATATACGAAAGGAAAGCGGAGAGGAATCGTTACTTTTCGGTGGGGCCCGTTGGTGCATGGCAGCTGTGTGCGGATCTTTTTTTCTCGAATCTCTTTCCTTTCCGCGTATTCCCTCTTTTCTTCTCGGCGGACCGACAGGTCGGTTTTTCCCGGTAATCCCTTCGAGGAAGAGAATACGAGAATACGGGGGAGAGATAGAGAAAGAGAAAAAAAGAGAGAGAGAGAGAGAAAAAGGACGGAGTTTCGCGCGCGCAGAAGCGGAAGAAACAAGAAGAAACAGCGCGAAAGATAGAGAAAGAGAAAGAGAGAGAGAGAGAGAACGACGGACGACCCCGCGCGCTGTTTGCCTTTTATTAAACTCTTGTTAAACGCCGCCTTTCTCCGCACACACAATTGAATCGGCAAAACAGCGAAGATAATGCCTCTACCTCGTATATACACGCCCGCAGGACTCCGGGCACGAAGGTGATAGAGAAGGAAAGCGAAAAAGAAAGAGACAGGGAGAGAAGAAGGGACGCGGGGGGGGGGAAGGGAGAAGGTAGACTTTACCGCAAACACCAGTTCCTTGTACGTCTTGAAATGGACACCGTGTAATCCGCCTCTTTATACAGCGACTGCGGGATCCTTCAGAGCGAGAGGATCGTTCGCGTTAGCGATCCTCGCGGCGTGAATGGTCGGACTTCGATCGGTCGATCGATTTCCCATTTGAAAGAAGGGAGGCCCCCGTGAAAATCGCGCGCGGGCCCCCCCCCCCCTCATCCCGCGCGCACAATCGGGCCGGGCAATGAAAATATTTGGATGTTTCCGACGCACAACAAAATCGGGAGAGATCTCGTCGAAAGGCCTGTCCTCGGGTCTTAAAGGAGTAGAAATTGAAGGACCTTTTTCCCCGGGAAAATCACGAGTGCCACAATAGAAGAAGCTTTTTTGATAAAGTCGTCGGGTCTCTCTGTGTGTATGTGTGTGTGTGTGTGTGTGTGTGTCACGTATTAATTTCGAATACATACGTCCTTATGACACGCGAAAACAAACATGCATCGTGTACTTTAATCCTCTTTCGTATTTATATTATAGATTTTGCTCGCGAAACAAGAACGATCGAAAATTGAAGTTTGTGTTTCATTTCCCGTATGTTTTTCAGACAATCGCGCTCGATGTTATTACGAGAGAGAGGAGAACGGGTGGAAAAAAAAAAAAAAAAAAAAAAAGAGTGTAAATGGATATTAACACCTCGTTTCGAGCGCACAATCGATTAGGAAACAATAAATAAAAAAACAATAAAAATCCGCGTGCGTTTTTGCCGGCATCTCTCCCTCTCTCGTGCCCCGTGTCGTCGATTATTATTATCCGCGGCGCTTCGGTAACGGCGGCGGCGGCGGGTTCGCGGTTGCCGTCACCGCTTTCGCCTCGCTCTCGGGCATCGCGCACGCATCAGTGACACGTTTTTTATGAAATAAAAAAAATAAAAAATAAAAATAAAAATAAAAAAAAAAAAAACACTTTTAATCGCCAGCTTGAGATACGTCTCAAACATCAGGAGTTACACGGTAATAAAAAAAAAATAAAATAAAAAAAATAGAAAAAATAGTAAAAAAAAATAAAAGGACGATGTGCAATATCGCCGATAACACTACAGATACGGTTTCCGTTGTTATTTATTACCGAAGCGCGAAGCAAAATTCTTGGAAAAAGAAACGCGCGCTTCTCTCTTTCGAGAGAGAGAGAAAGAGAAAAATCAGAGTGCGCACATATAATATATACGTAATGATACACAATCACAACATACTTTTCTCCACTTCCATCGAGCAAAATTGTGAACATTTTTTTAATTTTCTGCGTAAAATCGCATACGCTTTAAATTCTTGATATTCCGCTGAAAAAATATCACAAAGGAGAAAAGAAAAGAAGTAACGAGTAACTTACAAACGACCGTTTATTTCACACCGTGATTTTCGCAATGTTGGTGTTTTTACACACAGTGGGACGCAAACCAGGATTTAGTTCGTTTTTACTCGCATCATCGTGCACACGCACGCGCGCGCGAATAATTTTTTATACGCACACCCACATTTATACGAGGTTAAAAATAAGTACTCATATAAAACGTAAAGTAGCTCGTGTTTTTCGTTTTTATTTCTCCTTTTATTTTGTTTTTTTTTTTTTTTGTCAAGAGGAAGGGGAGATTTTGCTTTAAGGGCACATGGTGGAACTTTTGTTGCGCGCGTTTACGCGTATATTTACACATATATATCTCATTATACATACACACACACACATGCTTTTAGTTTGGTTTTTTATTTGTTTGTTGTGTACTTTCAACATATGCGCGGGTGTGCGGCAGACAGTGTGTGAGCTCCAGCCATAAATTTTTCATACGTTTTTTGCTTTATTCTTGCCAATTGTGCTCTCAACGTCAAGCTGCTTCTCGTTTTTAATTTGTTTGTTTGTTTGTTTTTGTTTTTCATTGTTCGTCCGATCGCTCATTTATTGTGACGAACTTATCGTTACAATTGACTAATAAGTACAGAGGTACGAAAGTACACACATACGAGATTGTTGAGAGAATCCGTGCTCGCGATACGCGCTAAACATCCGCAAGATATCGAATCGTTAAAAACTTAATCGCTAAATCCCTCTTCATCGTCGTGTTACGCAACACTGACTTTTTTAATTTCTTTTTTTTTTGTTTTTTTTTAGTATTAATGTACACTGTGATTAAACAATATATTTCTCAATATTTTTATATATTATGATAAATAAACTTAAATAATTCGTAATCGCATTCGAGTGTTGAAACTTGGCAAAGTTGGCTTCGTCTCTCGGAAAGAATACCTCGTCATTGTTTTGATGGAAGCGTTTCACGATGAACGCATTCGTATAACAAAACGCCTGGTATAAACGCTCATTGGATTAAGGAAGTAGCAACAAAAGGCATATATATATATATAAAAAAAAGAAGGCCAGAAAATTAATTGGAGAGAACGCTTGTGGAAACACGTTACACTTTGAAAACAAATTCAAAAGAATAACATTCGTTTGCAAAACCCCATACTAAGTGGAAGTAAAATGACGTTAATTAAAATTAAGTTGACAATTTGTGCGTGTTCCCTCTCTCTAGTGATTTTTTTTTTTTTGTATAACAAACGTAATGCGCTGTTACACAAGTTTTAAATAAATAACATTATTCATACGCAACTTCATCATACACTACGTATTCCAAACTAAGTTTCGCTCTAAGTCTCGCTTATACATTTGTTAACGTATAAATGCAACCCGCTACACCATATACATTCAGAGAGATTTTTTTGTCGTAAAAAAAAAAATCCATACGTCTTGTGAAAAACATTTCGTCTTATCTCAATGCTTGATGCAACTTAGCTTGATGATTTGTTTGGTTCTTTGGTGCACTTGCGAAAGAAGTTTTCTCTCATTCATCAACAAGTTCAAATGACAAGAAACGGATAAACGGATGCCGCCAGTTTACACCAGTTTGCGGTCGGTATTATCCGGGCGCGACATGTGAAGGAGACGCGCGCAACACGACACATAAATTTTCAAACGTTTACACAGAAGACGTAAATCCTAACACACAGAGAGAGTTTCATATTTATTCGCTAATCATCGTACACAACCCAGGAGAAACGAACTATATATATTAGCAATTCTATATATATATGTGTATATATTAGCAAACTCCGGTATAATTTCTCCGTTCGCCTCCGTTTTTGTTTATCGCACGTCTTACATACTTACAAAAAGTGTAAATTCTAAATGTACATTGTTTGGATTTCGCCTCTTCTTTTTTGCACAGCAACGATTATTCTGTTATTGGTTTTTTTCGTGTGCTTGCTAGATACGTACGTAAATATAGAGCGTGTGTTTTTGCGTTTTTCTATATAAATGTGTAATTTTTATTATACGTTCTTATCGCTAAGTCGAAAACGCGTGTTTCTCTAATTTATTTCGCGGCACAAATTAGATAGATTGGCACCACTTTCTGGTAACTTAATAGTCGCAAGACCTATGTAATAACTGAGAGATAATAAACTTTATTAACATTGAAAAGACTCTGTGTATTTCTAATCCTACTCATGAGGAAACGATTTTTTTCGCGAGATTATTTTTATTGGTTATTAATTTTTCGAGAGAGGTGACGACTCGAAAAGTTGTACGGAATATTTTTCAAAAGAACTTAGATAAAAATCTAACGAACAGAAGATTTAAGATCCTCGGTGACAATTGATAAGTTTTAAATTGTTAAAAGAGAAGGAAAAAAAAATAAACTTTCTCTCGTAGAAAAAGTATTCGTTTTTAGAAAGTTTGTGGGACAATCTGACATTCTCATTTTTTTTTTTTTTTTACTCTCATATCATTAAACTATATTCGTGTTATAAAAAATCATTAACGAGGTAAAGCACACAGCTAACGAGTATAACACGCACAATTTACTGTTTTTTTTTTTTTTTTTTTTTTGTCCCAATATATACCACGATCGAATCTCTAAAAAGACTAGGAATCTATTTCCTCGGAGAGGATGTATACACTTTTTTTTTTTTTTTTTTTGTAGTTTCAGTTATATCTCGTACGATTGAATGATTGATTTCCGTATAAATACATCGAAAAAATAGAAATATATATATAATATGTATGTACATTCTTATGTATTGCAGACCGAAAGAAGAAGCTCTAGTTAATAAACATCGAGCACGGTATACTTCGTACGAATTCGACGGTGTTAAATATCGCCTAAAACACGGCATCGAAAATTTTTATATTTATTGACGTTAAAAGACGTAGTAAAAGTTTCTGTCGGAAAAACACGATTGGTTTTATCCGTATGTACATCTTAGATCCGTTTTTTTTTTTTTTTTTTTGTAACTCTGTGTGTGTGTTTTGATGCAATATCGTTAGAATTTTACTTGAGATTTTCCGATTATACTTTACGTTNACNNANAAAAAAAAAAAAAAAAAAAAACTATTACGTTTTCTCGTTTTCGGCATTCTGATCGCGATGATCTTTTTCAGCGGCTATATGCAAAGTTACAAGTTTAGACGCTAGGTCTCGTTTAACTTGGTTTTGGTTCTATACACATATATGCATACATATATAATACATATTTATGTATACATATTTGTATATACATATACTACGTATACACATATTATAACATTATGACAAGTATATATCGCGTCGGGTATATATATAATATATATATATATATATTAGTTGATATGCTAACGAAGAACATTTGAGCATCACCTAGGACTCGAGGGCTGTCTTTGGCGGGGTGTAAGACATCTCCATTGTGATTCCGCCGCTGCTGCGTCTAAATCGCGAAGGAATCCCGGGGATGTCGATGCTGTTGCGCGGCTTGCGTCTACTGAGATGTCTCTCAACCCATTTCAACATCGTTAGAACCGAGTCGGTGCTGGGCAGACGTCTCTCGGCGGAAGTGCGAATTATATGCGACGACGCAACACGGAAGGTAGCAGCCATACCTTTCAAAGCCTGTGTACGAACAGATTTCGAAATTTCACGTAAATAAAGAATCGTCCGACTGTAATTCGAAAAAAAAAAGAGAAATCTATTCTCAAACGAAAAGAAATCGATTCGTACTTTCATCGCATCCTCATCCGTAACATCGTCACCGGCGTAAATAATCCTGATGCGTTCGCTCCAGTCCAAACCGAATGCCGTGCGCAAGATATAGATGGAAGCGCGGCCTTTGTTCCATTCGACCGGCGGTTTAGCCTCAATTGCGCAGTGTGCGGCGCAAGCTTTAAATCCCGCTTTCTCGATGAGTTTTTTAGCTTGATCCACCATTTTAGGACGGATCTCCATCGGAGTTTCACGATAATGGAAAGTCAGAAGCGCGCCTTTGTTCTCCACCCAAGCACCGTCTTTGCAAAGCTTCATCAAACAGAGAATCGTCAACGAAACAGTTCGTTAAAAAAATATATACAATCAAATAAATTAGTACAAATTAGTAAATTAGTATTCATTCAAATAAATTAGTAATTAAATATATTTTTAACAATTTCGCGAAAAATTTACTCTATATAGGGTGTATTAAAAACAAACGTATATACATATACCTGTTCTTGAAGAGTCTGCATTAAGTTAGCCACTTGGTCTTCCAATTCAGCGGGCATCGGATGAACGAATTTGCTCCCGTCCGGATGTAGAATCTCCAATCCGTGATTGCCGGCGTACGTGATACCTTCTATTCCGACCATCGATTTCACGTTGTTCACATTTCTGCCGGATATAATCGCGATATAGACGTCCGACATGTTGGACAATCTCTGCAAAACATTCTTGGTTTCCAACGGCAGAATCGCAAGATCGGGATGCGTGGCGATGGGCGCCAATGTGCCGTCGTAATCCAACAGGAGAGCTAACTTATGATTATCACCGATGTACCTAGGGGACATGTGGTTGTCACTGGATCGTTATCCTGCTTTTGTCATGAGTCAAGGTAACAATCGCTCGCGCGGGCCCGCCGTATCACGAAGAAGCATATTTTTTCTTCATCCGTCACTTATGTAACACATCCAATTTGCAGATTGCACAGGACAGGATGTCGGGATCGATATATATCACATTCAAAATGCATTATTAAATGCTCGGTGTGCATCACCGCCATCGGTGACGACGTGTAAAGCACATAACCCGTCGATCATACCTTTTTTTTATTTATTATCATTATTATATGTGTCGCCACGCTGCGACGTACCCAAACTCATGCTTAGATTATAAATATTATTTAAAAGCGCATAGCTCTCTGTATCTTTATATAAAATTTTCTTTAGCAAATCAATCATTAGTACAGAATTGCTAAAATTTTTTCTTTAAAAATGTTCTTAAAAAACTTCTTCTATATATCATTAAATTTATATAAAACTTGTGTGTATAAATATTTTTCTGAAAAAACAATACTGCAAGCAGAGATATAGTCTAAGAGAATTAGTTGAAAATTATTATAAATTACTTTAATACTTGTTATGTTTCTGCCTTAATGGATAAATTGTCCCGTTCATGCGCATGCGCTGGTCGGGCCCAGTCATGCACATCTTTTAACACATCTGATACCTACTTGCTCAAATAATCGTCGAAATCGTCCATGGTCACGGGCTGCATCGTGGTAGCACCCACAGAATCGTGTTCCTCGAGCGATCCCATTACTTGAAGGAAAGATTTCATCCAGTAGTTGACGTCGTATATTCTCTCGCGTCTACGTAAGTGATTCATTCTTAACGTGCGTTCATCTTCCGGCATCGTGAGAGCTCTGTTAAAAACAACGACGTAAAAACGTTTAATAAAAAAAGAAAATGAAAAAAGAAAACCAACAAAAAAGCAAAACAAAGAAATAAACGGTACGTTAACTGCGCAGATATAATTATTCATCGCGACTAAACTGTGTTTTATATGTATGTTGGAAAAAAAAAAAAGTTTACATACCTGTGAATCACTTCCGCGGCCTCGTCAATCTCATAAGGATTGCAAATCAGCGCCTCGTGCATCATTTCACCTGCCCCGGCGAACGGCGATACTATCAGCACTCCCGGTGGCGTGTTGATCTGACACGCAACGAATTCCTTAGCGACCAAATTCATGCCATCTCTGAGCGGCGTGACGAGAGCAACGGCGGCGTCTCTGTAAAACGCGGCCAGCTCGTCCTGACTCACACAACCGTAGATGTAACGAATCGGCGACCAGTTTGGTGTTGTGAAGCGGCCGTTTATGCAGCCGATCAGCTGATCCATTTCAAGCTTCAAATCCTGATACTCGCGAACGTCGGTGCGTGAGGGCACTGCGATTTGCAACATCGTCACCTGCGACACGAAACGGTATATGTGATCGTTCGACGATTCGCGATTAAATTTCAAGATACGCGTATTCGCGCGCAACGCAATAATTAAATACCTGTTCGCGATGTTCGGGATGTTTTTCAAGTAGCATCTCAAAGGCTTTCAGTCTGTGCACGAGACCCTTCGTGTAATCGAGCCGATCAACGCCGAGGATGATTTTCTGATTCGACTGCATTACCTTGGTCGCGGTCTCCGCCAAGGAAACAAACCTATCGAACGGAATGCCGATCGGCAGCGGTCTTACCCGCACCGTTCGGCCGCCGTGCTCGACCAACAGATTCTTTCTGTCCACTCTACAACCGAGACTTCTCTGGCAACAATCAACGAAGTTCAGACAATAATCTTGAATGTGAAAACCCACCATGTCGCAGCCTGAAAATTATATATATACGCGCACACGCGCAAGAAGTTACGTCGTGGTTGAAAAAATTTGAAGTGAAAAAAAAAATTGAGATAATAAATTCTCAAAATACACAACTGAGATTACATACTCACCGAGCATACCCTGTAGAATTTCGTCAGCCCAAGGGAAGAGTCGGAAGATGTCCCATGGCGGGAAGGGTATGTGAAGGAAGAAACCTAATTTGAGTCTGAGATTCTTCTCGTCGGCCGCTTGTCTGATCCAATTCGCGGCCAACATCAGATGGTAATCGTGAACCCACACCAAGGGCGTGCCATTCAGTTGATTTTCTTGTTCCTTGTGAATTTGCTCCAAGGCGCCCACCTGCAGATTCGTTGTCGAAATAATGTTAAAACGTTATATATATATATATATATAACTTCTATATTTTTTGGTGCCGAAACCAAGTCAACAAAATAGACACAGCGCATAGAATGATCGTCGTACCGTCTTCGCGGCGAATTGTTCATTGACCGCTGAGTACGCGCGCCAATGTTCGGCGATGAAGGTCGCTCGATCCGGCATCGAATGGAAAAGAGGCCAAAACGTTCCATTGCAGCATCCGTTGTAATACGAGTCGAAGATGTTGGGTTCAACATGCACCGCGACAACCTGAAAAACAAAGACACAAAAGGAGAAAATAATCATTTGCGTTAATTAATTAATTTTCGAATTTTTTCTTTACGATTGTTTGTGTGTTTTATCGCAATATCGTTATCGCCATTTCGAAGATCGAATTCTACGCGAACGCATGTGCAATCGCGACGTCAGATATTTATTATCATTGTATAACATTTTGGCAAACGTGCCAAACGGGTTATTTTTAACCGTTTCGCATACAAAATTAATAATGTTTTACGGCTATTCTTAACGTTATTGCGACACACATATTATTGTGTTAATACACATCGAGAAATAATACTCTCAAAATTGCTTGTTGTGTATTGCCTTCGTTAAAAAATTCCTCGATTACCGCGCGCGTCGAAATCAAATCGGTATCTGCGAAACTAAAGAAGTTGTTGTACAGTGCGTAGTACTCGATTATTGACGGTTGTTCTGACACTTCTTTAGAACTAGACACGGCGATTGATCACGTTGTCCGACAAAAGTCGAGACACTCAAGGACGTTTTTTTTTTTTTTTTTTTTTCGATTTTTCTAGCAAAGTGTTACGCGGCAAAACAGTACAGTTGCGGTACGTTTAAACGCAATAAAATTGTAATTCCGAAACGTTCGAAGAGAAAAAAAAAGCGCAGAAAGATGCCAAGAAACGACGCAAAAATGAAACGAGGAGAGCAACAAGTACGCGTGTTGTCCTCAAATCGGAAGTGCACAAAGTCCGTTCCCGGCAGGCACGTTCTTAATGAAGACGTCGTATCATCGTCGGGGGAGGGTAATTCGATTCTTCTCTCTCTCATCTCTTTATCTCATGACTTCGTCCCATGACACTGCCTCCTTTATTTCCGATCGCGAGCGCGAAAACAGAGGCCGCGCCCGAGAAAAAGAGAGAGAGAGAGAGAGAGAGAGGTTGCCCTGACGCAAGCAAGGAGCAATCGGGCTTGACGAACGATAAGACGGTTGTTTATAATTCTACGATAGACATAACCAATCGCGCCGCGCGTCATATAATGTGTTGTTTCTCTTTCGTCGGCAGATATCGACATCGCTTTTACGGGCGCGTTAATTAAGAGAGGTCAGGGAAAGCGATACGGCGATCTTCTTTTTTCCCTCCCGTTGTGTTGTATACACACATATATATATATATATATATATTGTATACGAGCGCGCATTCCAACCCGGATAAGAATCGCGTTGCGCGCATTGTTATCATCGTTAACATTTGTATTCGAGAAGTCGTGGTGTTGCTTAACGCCACGCACTCGCGATAAAACATATCGAGTTACCGACAGTTTGGATTTTTTAGTTTTGTTTTGTTTTTTTTTTTTAATCGAAGAAGAAACGACGACCTCGATATTTTAACTCACTACACGCGCGAGTTGCAACACACAATCGGGATTACATTAAAAAAAAAAAAAACGGTCTCGAAATGATCGAAGTGTAAAATTCATCGGGGAATGATGAATTTAATCGAGCGATATCATGTGTGTGCAATAATATTCTCTCTCTTTCTATATTTAAATTTTTGCAGAACATTTTTAAGCGGATCGTCTTGTAACGACGGAGAGAGACTTTCGATCGTTACATCCGTTAATTGCGTAAGAGAAGTTTCGAGAGCTAATCAGATAACGTGTGGGGGGAATTGCAAAACCCACAGACAAAAAATAATTTCGAATCAAATACATAAATCACATCGTGCGATATATATACATTTTACACGACGTGTAAAAATATTGTTGCGCCACTATATTTTCGCTAAAATCTCTCATTGAAAAAATCGCGAGAGAAAGAGAGAGAGAGAGAGACGAAAACATTTTAATTGCCGCTCCTTATCACGCGCAAAGTATATTTCATGCGATATACGATAAAACGACGACTTTTCCTCGTGGCTTTCTTTTTCGTGGTTTCTTTGTTTCTTCTTATATATATTATCGTATCTTGTTATGTAAACATATCATTGAACGTTCCGCGATAGAAACAGAGAAAGAGGCCACCGAGAGTGTATGAACAGAAGCAGAAACGTAACAAGAAAACTCGGAATTCAACGATAATGGATTCGTTTCAGCTGTATTGCTGATATATTGATAAAACAAAACAAAACAAAACAAAACAAAAAATTGACACGTACGAGTTTTTTTCTCAGCAATATTCAAACGAGCAATGTTCGTACTTAATCTGTTTAAATTTATTTCAAAGTACGATCGATGTAAAAAGTATGCGAAAAAAATTAATATTCTCCAACGCTTTTCTTAAACAAAGAGAATAAAACATCTTTTCCGTCGTTGATCTTTTATCATCTTCAAAATACGCGTTTGTTATGTTGTTGCGAGATTTACATACTACGTCGCGCGCATCTACATTTCTGCGCGCAACGATAATTGTCGTTAATGTTTACGCGCAAGTCTGTTTACTGTGTCTGGCAGATTTTTTTTTAATTTTTGATATTAATGTTTTTTTTTTTAAGTGCGAGACTTTTGTTTATTTTTATCATAAACTTTGTTGAATTGTAAAAAGTGGTACTATCGTTACGTATTTGTTAAAAAAAATATTAACAAAAACGTCGCGCTAGTTTCACAGACGTGTTGTTTACGTCGGTCGCCACGCATCCTAACGCCGCGCGCTTCTTTTTTTTTTTAATCGCCCTTGTTACTTAACCGTTGCGGCGTTTTGCTCTCGGACATTTGTGTTATCGGCGATCTTGAAAGACTCTTGCCACACAATCCATGTGATCTCAACGCGACGACCACGTGGGTAAATACACGTCCGGGCGTTTAATCGCAAACCGGTATCGTCGTCTACAAAGCTACTCGCAACTTTGTACGGCAGAAATCACCGTCTATGGCAGATTAGACGTAATAAACGCTCGCAATGCGTCGCGCAGTGATAACCTTTCCGATTGACCCCGCGACACGAATATCGCGACACCGGATCCATTGCCAATAGTCGTTTGTTTTTTTTTTTTTGTTAATCCTTTCTTCCCGAGAATCCGCATTAATTATTCGACGATCGATTACGAAATTTGTTTTTCTTTGTTGCGCAATTTCTTTTTTTTTCGTGGAAAAACAATAAAAAATTATCAATAAAATATTATCGAAAGAGATTTAAAGTGGCACAAATATGTTAAGATAATAAAATATTTTACATGTGTGTGTGCGACTACGTATTTTAAATTTTTAATCGCGTACAAGCTGTGCGTAAACACGCACTCGTCAATAAAGCACGATCGTTGCTTTTCTCTCGCCGAGAAGGTGCAAAACCGTAAACAAATAAACCGTCCGACTGTGTAAAAAGAAACTTTTTTTCCGTATCGGGAGAAAAGTTAACAAGTGCATTTTTTTCTCAACCGAATATATATATATATTATTATATATATATATATTATTATATATATATATATTCGGTTGAATATATATATTATATATATAATAATATATTATCTTATCTTATATATATAATAATATATATATATATATATAATTATATATATATATTCGGTTGAGAAAAAAAATGCACTTGTTAACTTTTCTCCCGATACGGAAAAAAAATTTCTTTTTCGGTTTAATATTATATATATATATATATATTCCGTCAATATCGCTCCCGAGACCTCTTAGAGACTGTCAATTGAATTAAGTTCTGACTCATACAGATAAAAGCGAGGAAAAATACATCGAATTCTTATCACGCATTCATCGGCATTTTCGACGACATGATGAAATATTACAGGTGACCATTGAAGGGAGGACGACTATCTTTCCTCGTTGTAACGCGCTTAGTTACGAAAAACGAGACCGTCTCTCTCGTCAATGTCAAGGTTGATGGTACACGTCGCGCACAATCGCCGAATGGAAATGATAAGACGTCGTGTCTTACCTGACGCGGTCCACTCGAGAGAGAGAATTACATAGAAATGCGTTTTAGGATTAAACAATAAAAATATCTCGAACAATAGCCCTTGAAAACAAAACTCGGCAAGGGTCGAGAGAAACAAATCGCATGACTCGAGAGGAGGTAGAACGTCATCTCCGTTGCGGTCGTTTGCTCATCGTAATGCAACGTTGAGCAATCGCATATTAACAGCGACGTTTTGTTCATAACACAGCGGCAATGTTTTCCTCTCGATGATTGTTTTAAGAATTAAAGAATCAATTTTTCTTTTTTTTTTTCTTCTGTAAAAGTTTATCTTCGACAATAAGAGACAATACGCTTTAATTTCTTACGATAGTTTACGTAAATGCTAGACGAAATTATGTAAGAGTGTGTTTGAGACAAGACAAAGTATCGATTTTTATTAGCGTCGCGTCGCGTCATTGTTACGGAACATTAATAACGACAGGCGTGTTGTTTACCTTTCGAGAGAGCAAACCGGCCGTGGGTGTGCGATCGTTCGGATCGGATTCGGGAATCGGTTCGTTCGGATTTTCCATGTGCATGCCCGGCCATCCAACCCAGACTCCATTGCCGCTTATGACAACCGGTGCCACCGCAGTCACCAAACCACCGGCGCTGGAAAAAAAAAAAGATAACATTAGCAACAGGATAAAAAAGAACTTAACGCACACGAGTGTCTCCGAAGCTCAGACGATGATTCCACAGCTACCTCCGACATTCTTCGAACGTCTACTGTTTATTTTTGTTCCTTAATAGATGACAATTCTAATTTCAATCTGTAAAAAACTTGCAGACTGATAATTAGTAATTAATTAGTAATTAATTAGTAATTAGTAATTATCAGTCTGCAAGTTTTTTACAGATCGAAATTAGAATTTTCATCTATCAATTGTCATCTATTGTTAATTACATCTTACTTCTCTCTCTCTCTCTCTCTCTCTCTCTCTCTCTCTCTCTCTCTCTCTCTTACGAATACGTCATAATGTAATTGATCATAATCGCGAGATTCCGCTCGCCTTGTTACGGGACGTTTAACATTTATCCACGTCCTTCACGAAGAGTTCTAATTATATCTCAGATATCTCTCGCTTAATTCGATCGCGCTAATCGAGCGGCGGACAGTAGATTGACAATAATAATAGCATTAAGTATAAGTTCTCGAATGTAATTCCGTTCAACGTTTGTTTACCTTCTTACGTTTCATCTTTGTCGACTTATAAGACGTGTGTATATATAGAGACAGTAAATATAAATATAGAAAAAAAAGAACAGCCAAAAAAAAACACAGACTGTTCACGGAAAAAAAAGTTTTGCTATTATATGGTTAGCAAAAAAAATGGTTGACTCTACGAAATATTTTGTTTCATCAACAAAATGTTTTGTTGGCGAAACAAAAATTTTAGTAAACTTAACAAATGTTTTTTTGCTGGCCATATAATAACTAATTTCTTGCTATTCTAGCAAATCTTTTTTTTCCGTGTTGTTCCAATTAACACACACAAAAAAAAAACAAACAAACAAATAACGAAACATACGTGTTTAACTAGAGAATTGAAGTTGTGTCATGTGTGGCTCTCGACTGTGGAGTAACACATTTTGTACAACCGAAAAATGCGTTGTATGATTGTTTTCAAACATCTCCGCTGAAATCATCGGAGTTGCAAAACAATTCGTCACAAAGTGCGAATATTTGTTTCACAATGGAAAACAAATGTCGAAAAAGTCGAGAAGACGATACGCGCTCTCGAAAGTTGTTTTTGCGGTACCTCGAATCACGAGACAAATTTTTTTTACACGTGCAAAATATTCAAACTAACGACTAACGATTTTTTTTTTTTTTTTTATCAAATTTATCGCCGATCGGAAAGCGAAATTATTGCTGCGTCGCGAGATATTCGCGCGCGCGCGCGCGCGACTATTGTAATTAATTAATTATTTAACAGGCGTGCACACGAGCGCGCGACATTGAGTATAACGACCAATTTGTTTTACGTAATGCACAAGCCGCTTCATCATCGGTTGTGTACGTCTTTCTTTGTCTCTCTCTCTCTCTCTCTCTTCGCGGAATCAACCGGGAGATTTCTTAAAAGCACGTGCATCGAGTGCGCGTAAATGCGTGACAGCTCCGTGACCTTCCGGAAATCACTCCGATTTTTTTGTTTTTCTTTTTTTTTTATCGCGCGCGTCTGATACAAATTTCGTGACAACACGATCGCTCTTTCTTGCCCGAGTTAAGTCTTGGTTATCGAGACACACACACACACACAAACGATCGGTTCTAATTTTTTTGCGCGCAAAAAGAAAAATTAGCGCAACGTGATCTCAAATTGATCAAAGAACTCGCGAATTAAAGACTGCGAGAAAGCTGCGGGGAAAGAGAGATGAGACGTTAGACGTTACGTGCACACGCCGGTAACATACTTTGTGATTACACACGCGTTTGAATTTTCACTTGCGCGTTGGAAAATATAACGCTGGAGATATAATTTCATATCGCGAAAAAGTATTTCATTCGCGTACCGATATTCGAAGTATCTGCCAACAAAAGTCTTTCCGCATTAATGAAAACGCATAAATGTTTACATGTGCGCGCAACATGACGTTCTTATCGCGCGCGATCGATAATTTTTTCATTTCGTAAGTAATCATGGTCGTGCTATAATTATACCACGACGTCTTACGGCACTTCTGTGACGTTAAGAAAATTATCATCGAAATACACATGTACGTGAGATAATAAAAATCTATTATTTTACAAAAATGTTGCAGCCGTTCAAGAAAAGGGTAGCAGCAACGATCGGTTCAACAATTTTTCAGGGCAAAGAGTTCGAATTCACTCTTAAGATATGTTTCCCGGGTCGATCCCTTTCAACAACGAATTTTTCATCAGGTCTCAAATAATTAATTCGAGTGAGAATTTTTCTCTCAAACGGTTCCAACGACTCGGTTCTTAACAAAAAGTCCAACAGTACGAACGATCGAGCGCAACATCAGCATTGTTTATATTTCAGCCGATCGTTTCTTCCGATAACTTCGCGCCGATCTCGTTTACAATTGAATTACGTAACAACATTGCGCGATAAAGCCGAGAAAAAAAAGATAACGGAATACACACACGTTTTTATGTAACACATACGGATGCAACGTTCGCGCGTAAAAAAAAAAAAAAGAAAAACAAGATCGCCGCGCGATGCAAAGATCGGTAACGCGACGTGTTCTCCCATGTTGAATTTAACCCGCCGCTTCTCGGAGTTTATTGTCGGCGCAATCGGAAGTTTAAAACGTTCGCGCGCGGTGTTTTTCCACGACTTGCGGTGCAAATTCGCGCGCGCGGTGCGAATTCACGAGACACACTCGCGCGCGAGCGAGTATATATGTTCGAGACGCTTCTCGAGACTCGCGACTTCGCACTTGCGCGCGGAATACAATCGGTAAGACACGCGATAGACACGTGGGACGATTGTTGCACAAGTGTTACCCGCGTGTTTCTTTCATCAACGCTTTGTGAGAGACAAAAGTTCTCTCGATAATCGCACTTGTCGGACGGCTTTTGCGAGCGATGCACGTGCGTCGTTGTGTCGCGCGCACGTTGTCTCTTTCTGTGCCAAGAACGTCTCGTTGTAAAAAAAAGTTTCGTAAGAATCAATCGCGCTCGAGCGTGATTTATATATATATGTTTGTTATAAGCAACGTTCTAGAAATAACATCGAGAGAAATTCACACAATCGCGCGCTTAATTAATTATAATTCGCCGCGAGCGGAGAGACGCGCAATCGCAATGTTGCTTCTTTAAAATGTACGGGTGCGTCGCGATTAACACGAGAGCGAATTACACCGAAAATACGAATTGTACGGTTTTTCGAAGAAAAGAGATAAAACTTCAAGAGTTATACGATTTGCACAAAGAACCCCCTTACCCCAATTCAATATTATCGGTCGCGATTTGATCTGTTGCATAAGTTTCTGATGTCAACGAACGTTCGTTAAATGATTTGCGTTAATTAATCTGGTTCGCGAGCACAGATCGAGAAATAAATTCGTCGGAGAGATAAATCTCCGTCTCCGTCTCCGTCTCTCTCCGCAAACAAAGTTTATGTGACATTTTGTAATGCAATATCACCCATCGTATTTTACCGAGCGCGATTAGATTACATTTTTTTTTTAAAACAAACAGTACAATATTTCGAATACGCGATTGAGAAAGTTGTTTCTCTCGCTCGCCGCGAGTCGATATACGAAATAACATCGCGCGCGTTTTTAATATTTTTTACTTGCACACATTGACACTCAGTCAATTATTGAATTTTTTTGTTCATGTATCATTAAATCGTACACCGAAAACATTACATTCTTGTAAGTAGAAGATTTTATACTTAAAAAATCTTCTTCAAGATTTTAGATGATATTCTTCTGAAATTAAGAATATATTCTTTATTTAAGAATATATTCTTAATTTAAGAATATAGTCTTTTTCGAAAGTGAGATATATGTATGTTTTTCTATAGAAACTTTTTATATTCTAATCAGTATATATTCTTATCAATATTACTATTTAGAGGATTTTCCTCTTAAAATAAGAAACTCTTCTTGGCGCCTATTTTAGTATAAAATATACTTAAAGTAAGTGGGATATCCTCAAAATAAGAATACAATTTTTTCGGTGTATCAATCACTTAAAAAAAACAAAACAAAAAACATAAAAACACGGAATTATCCGTATCTAGAATTTTCTCGAAATTAATTTGACTCTTACATTAAACATCTCAACGAACATCTTCATCGATAAACATAGAATTTTGTACTGAGATCAGATTTAGATCACATTAACTTAATTCAAGCGGCAAATCATCGGTCTGAATTTTAATTAGGAATATTTCAATTAAACTTTGTTATTTACATTTCGTCTTTGCCGATGTTACGTCACCGGATGTTACCAAATGCATGCGTACGCGCGCACACAAACGCACTTGCTTTTGTTTATTTTCCGCGCAATCGCGACGCGTCTTTTGTCGAAATAGTTGCTACTTTTTTGTTGATACGCGATTCTTCTTTTCGCCGCTGTTCTTTTTTTTTTTTCCAAAATAATATTCGCACCATCGAGACAGCAAGCAAAAGCGACAAGCGGAGAATACAATATAGTAAACAATAACAATTAACTTCAATAATCTCTTATGATCTTCGACCCCTGTATTCGGAGATAAATGCAATATCGTTGATGTGAGAAAAACAAGACTTTTCGATCGCAAAAAAAAAAAAAAAAAACACGCAATATACACTTTATGACGTTATCGTTTTTTATTTTCCAAAAGCATCCTACAGTATTAAACGCGGCGAGCTACGTTTGTCACGATATCGCATTTATTGAAAAAAACGCGGCTCTGTGGAGATAACGGAGTCGCACAAGTGATGTAACCTCACAGACGACATGTAATCACAACCCAGCTCCGTCGCGTTTCGTTATCTCGAAACATTCGCCAAAAAATATATATAAATGAAAAATACAATACAACGTGTGTGCGAATGATCAAATGTGTTCTAATTCTAATTCTTTTCCGACATTACGCGCAACAAACGACGTTGAACAAAAATAATTGAAACACATTCGACCGAAAAAGAGAACGTGATTAATTAACGTGCGAACAAAACGAGGCGAGCGATGCATTTTGAATCGCAACGAGGTAAATGGCACCAAAAGCTACCAAACGAAAAACACCGTTTCTTAACGCGTGTTTTTGTAGTCGAACGAATAATTGTGCGTTGGCACTGATTTTGTTATAAATTTACATGGCAAATACGTTAATAAATAATGCGGCGCGTTAATATACGCGCGCGTTGTGTGAAGTTTAAACATTTGAACATTTGACAAAAATAAACACAGCTCTTAAAAAAAAAAAAAAAGAAAACCAACCCAACAATATGTAAAATCGATCAATTACGAGATAAAAAAAGAAATATTGCATATTTACGTTTGAAAATTTCGATTATCCGCAAAAAAAAACTCAGTGCGGACGATCAAGTATCTTTTTTCTCTCTTTCTCCTTATTCTCGTAATTTTATTTCTGCGCTACTTTCTTTTGTTTTTGTTTTTTTTTTTGTTTTAACAAAACAAAACGATTTTCACACTCACCTGGCTTTGCGCTCCAGCTGACCGGTCGTCTCGTTCCTCTTCAGCACAAACGGCAACCTGTTGCTCACAACGATCATGCTCCCGTTGGAGGTGAAGCTGCCCGGTTCTACGGACATGTTGATATAATACTGCAGTGAGTTAACAAGCTCATCCGAAAGTGATGAGTTCATAGGTGATAATTTGTCTTATTGCTGTCTGAACACCGGCGGGAGAGAACGTCGCCCGCAAGAACGTCGTGCGTCACGTGCGATCAGAGAAAGACGTGGAGACGCGAAAGATGCGACTCTTTTATGCTCTCGCTCTCTCTCTCTCTCTCGTGTGTGTTTGTTCTTTCTCTCTCTTCTTTTTCCTCTAATAATAAAAGATCGCGTATATACGCTTGAATCTGTCACGATAAAACCTCGTGCGCGGCTTTTCTCAGCTCCAGGCTTCTTCTTAGGCGCGATCTACTGTTGATTCTGGCTAAGATCCATGATTTCACCCTTGAGAGAGCGCGATAACTGTGCGGTTTATCAGATCTTCCCGAGAAAAACAAGAGAGAGAGAGAGAAAGAAAAAGAAAAAGAAAGAAAGCTCAGGAAAACCCAATGAGCAGATGGAGTTAAGGGGCAAGTGCGTCGGCGGTGTGGCGTTATGTAGGTCCTTGTGCGGGTTGGTGTGGTACGTCGCGTTGCGTAGTCGAGACGACACTGAGGTAACGCCGTCGCGCTTTATCCTTCTTAGTCGGCGCGACCATTTGGTCCAAAGTGCGGTCCCTGTAACCGTATCAATGACGGGGGCCGCGACCTTTCCGGGCCGCTATCCGCGCGCGCGCGCGCGCGCGCGACCTCTCCCTCTCGATTGCCGCCACCTCCGTCATCATTGAACAACGGAGAAATCGCTGATCGTTGCCGCCATCCGGGTGTATGTCACGTAAACACACAAGGGGCTCCCTCCCTGCTCCGCGTACGCGCGCGATATCGCGGGGCTTTTTCGACCCCCGCTCCACCCTCGATTAAAGCCGCGACAACGAGATAGATATATATATATTACGATCGGCGAAAAAAAACGCGCGGCAGACGGACACGAATCCTAAATAACCGACGAACGCGAATATCTGTGTCAGGTAAAAAAACCGGCCGAAACACCGCACCTCCTCTTGACGCACGAGTACTGATCGCGGATTACTACTATCGACTACGCGATCGGCGAAGCGGCTTCCTTCGCGCGTTCTCCTCCCTATCCACCTTTGCGCGAACAGCCGACCGACCGACCTTCTTTCACGCGCGACATCTGGCACACGTTTTCGGCAGATCATCGATGACGATAATAATTCGCAAAGACGCGGGCAGGTTGTCGCAGACAAAATCCGTAACAAAAGCAATGTAACCACAATAGGATGCGGGAGGTCAAAGCCTAAATGCTAATGTTTCGAAGCATCATATTCTATGGCACAAGCGATAGATCATATCCACCGGTTTTGTGTATAAGACTTATATTTATAAATAACAAGTAGAAACAGCGAAATCTCTCTCTAACATTCAGAAAGATACACACATGTATCGATGCAGATTGGAACAGGCAATAGCGATAAAATTGTTCGACGAGTATTCTGGAATTCTGTGTGTCTATCGCTTATCGATATAGCTATTTTCTCGCATTGTGCACAAAGAGCTTATCTTTGTTTCTCGTTAAACATAAAAAAACAAAGATAGAACGTTGCTTCGAAACATTTGCAGTTGAGACACCGCGCCCGTAGTAACGAATTTAAAAATTTGAGAATATTATAAATTTTTTTCTAATGACAATTACATTCTCATTTTTGTCGAGAGAAAAACGCAAATGTGTTTGCGAAAAAATTAATGCGATTGTAATTTCAATTGTAGATTAACGGCGACGCGTTAAGAGAATAATCGGAGCCGATTAGCGGAAGATCATAATTGGTATATTTCTTGCGACAACCTCGGGGGGAAAGAAGATTTACGGTGAGTCATTAACCGCCCGATGCCAAGCGCGTCTGGCCGAAAGCAGTTGCGACTGCAAATACATTAAAAAAAAAAAAAAAAAAAAAGAATGGAATAAAAAAAAAAAAAAACAAAACGTTATCATCACGTTGCGAACGCGTGTCATCGGGCGTCATCGCGGGTTTACGACATTCGTTCTCGCACACGGCGAAGCGAAGAGGAAAATTGGCACGCGTCTCGCACGCGGTACGCGCGTTTTCGCTTTGCACACCCGGAAGTGCAATATGTATTTTTTTTTTACATCTCGGACAGTTTGATGATGTGTGACGTGAGAGATAACGGGAAAGACAAAAGGAAAGAGCGAGAGCTTCGTGTGTGTGCGTGTGCGTGTGTGTGTGTGTACAATGAGATATCGAAATGTTATCACTTCGTTTTTGCCAAGTATCGCAATAATAAGAGAAAACCGACGTACGTACACATCGCTTGCGGATGTGTATATCGGAGAACAACGTGTATAGTTATGAATTTTGAATGAGATATTGATACACAAATTATTAACGCTAACTAACTCTCTGCTTTGTCACTTGTGCGATTTTTATGTCAACAATTGATTTTTGTAAAGAGAACGTCGGTTTGTTAAATAATTTGATTCATATATCCTTAGAGAAACGAAAAATAACTCCGTTTGTTGGATTTTCTATCCGCGCACGGATAAGTTCCTACGTTTCGCTTCTCTCGAAGTTGCTCGTACGTCGGGTTGCCTATCAACAAGCGAATCTGAAAATATACTCCGGTCGCGAGTTGTGCGTAAATGTTCAAATCGCTTTTTGACGCGTTACACTAACTATTTGCGTATATAATCCAATGTCTCGTGTGTCCTTTTGATAAAAAAAAAAAAAAAAAGCAAGATTGTACATCGAAGTGATCACAGAATTAAATTTGTCAAACTTTGTCACACTTAGCTTGTCTAAAGAAAATTGAATTTATTTATTAGTGTTAAAGAAAGAAAAAAATGAGACTAAAGATAGAAGAACTTGAAATAAATTTCTTCTTCACTTTTACGCATTTTAAGATAATACTAAACGTAATATACGTCTCTCCTTTTCTGTCTCTCTCTCTCTCTCTCTCTCTCTCTCTCTCTCTTTCTGTATATTTCCATCGATTTTTGTGATTGTTATCAATTGAAATCATAAAGATAAGCATTATAAACATACAACTGGATGGATATATCGTACTCGAAAAGATTTAATTACTATGTAAAAATCGTATCTTCCGTTAAGATCAAAAGCATAGAGAATCATAAATAAATATCACATCTAATAAAATATCTAATAACACACACCTGATAAAATGTCTAATAAATATCACATCTAATATAAAATATCCAATGACACATCTGATAAAATGTCTAATAAAAATTAAGTAACAGAGCGGTATGTATCGCGGCGGATTAAGAGGAGATTTGAATCGGGATTTATCAATGGATTTCTGCGTAATTTTCTATTTTCGACCGCTTAAGCGCTTTTGAGACTTGCATGTACACTCTAATCTCTCGTATCGTTATATATTTGTTGTTTATGCTTTCTCGTTTTTTACAGTTTTGTATCAAGGATTATATATGTCACGTTAACGATTGCTGATCTCTAATAACCAGTCGTTGGTGTGTGTGTGTGTGTGGCCAGCCGAACAAAGATCAGAATAAGTTTTCTGATCTACCGCAAAAAGCGTCCCGCGATAAAATTAACATAATTTTTCGAATATGTACAAGATATTATCAATGTTTACGAATGAATGTTGTTTGCGAGGCCGTGTATTAAAATACGCGTGCATAACCTAACCTAATCTAATCTGTGTATACGTACGCTCAACTACGCGTATATTTTTAAATCTGAAAGTTTATTATACAAACAAATTCGAATATACATACATGCATATAGTAATATTTGTTGTGTCTTAAGAAAAGTGACTTTGCAAATTGTGAAATAATAGAATTGTTTTTTTTTTTTTTTTTAACTTCGATTTTCGGAAAATGTTCGCGCTACGCCACTGAGCGAGCGCTTTTTTTTTTTATCGTACGAGATCAAAATTGCGCGAATCAAAATATCACGTTTGACAGAACCACTTATTGGTTTCCGCTAAAGGTGGACATTCCATTTTAGTGCCAGTTAAATCCAGATCGCTTTCGCAATCGCGATCTAAAACAGCCCGCGACGGGCGCGGAGAGACAGTCGAACGTTCGCGTACATTCGGCGAACTTCGGCACGATCAATGTCACGTGAAAACGAGCGCGAAAATTGAAAGAGATAAAACGGTTCCGCGATAAAAGCGATGTGATTTTTTGCAATTTACACGATAACTCCGATAAATGCTCCAATAAATAAATTATCCGCCGCCTGATAAACAAATTTAAAAGGCAGTCATAATTTTTTCGACATAATGCAACCGCAAGACCGACTGCACGTGATTACGGAAACATGTTCTACTGTTCTCTCCGTACACCCGTTTGCAATGTTTATCTTTTTTCTCGAGAATACAGCACGAATTTGTTTTCACTTTCAACGCGAAAACGGGTACAACATCAAAGAGCTTGAAATTGATTATTACAAAAAACGCAAAACGTGCGCGTTGTTCGAAAAAAACACACGAGACAATTGGACGAGATATTGCAAACAATCTTTCGCCGTTTCGTTTTTCTAACAAAGTTGTCTTTGTTCAAAAACGTACAAAATTCGCAGATCAACAGTCGACTCGCAACAAATGTGAGCATTTGTTTCGTATTCTTCCAAATTTTCTTCAAAATCTCGCGTTTAGCGCCGACGCGTTATGTAATGTTTTTTTTTTTTTTTTCAATCTGAAGTTTTCGCAGTCGCGAAAAGAGCCAAACGATTTGAAACGGCACGCGACATAATCACGTAATCACGGCGAGTTCAATTTTTTCCGCGAGGCGGATACGTGAGAAGATAGACCTCACCGTCCGAGAACGTTATATTTCGCTACATACTCTGTGTGCTTCAAAGTTTTCTACTCGCCGTGTGTCAGTTTCGAATTAACTCGCGACTACCGAAAACAAAGTCGTCGAGTCTTTCGAGTCTCGTCGACTTTATTCGAAAACATTGTCAGCACATTCGAAGTGTCACTTTCGTTCGGTGACAAAACGTAAATGACGAGATTTACAACTTTGTCAGAAAACGCGATCGAGCCACTTGACGGTGACCGACAACGGCCAACGAACGTCGTCGTGTGGAAGAACCGAAACAACAATTCGATCTGAAAAAATACCTACCTCGCACAATTAAACAATTCCTGCCCTCTTCGCCCGTTCGGTGAATATGTACCTCGGTTTATATAACGCTTGTGTCGAAGTCAATGTACTTCCCGTACGAGTGACAAAACTCCGGAGTGTCAATCGAAGCGCGAGTCTTTACTTGCGTGCGTCTACGGTGTCTACCGGCAAATGACGACTATGGCGACGATGAGCGGCGCCGGTCTAGTACCTTCACATTATTCGACGAAGGTGACACCACCAACTGGAATCTTCGTCTCTTTCGCGAAGTTTCGAAACGAGCGAAGGTAGCCACCGAACAATCGATCGCTCCCCCGTGGTGTCACACCTGCGAGCGGAGAAATTCACTAGATTTTTTATATCGTTCCGAAGTCCCTCGGCGATGTTTTGTTTCTTCCCGCGAGTTGAAAAGAAACGCGAGGATAAACACGCGCGCGAGAGATATGTGAAAAAAAAAAAAAACGTAAACAACAAGATTTTTAATTAATATACCTCGAACGTTCTCGAAGGTACACAACGCGTCAATGAATCGCGGAATAGACGCGTGGATCGAGGGGGGCAAGCGGGGCGGTTGCTCGTGGCGCCAACGAGCGCCGTGCGAACTAACTAGTAGCAATCGGTTGTCCACAACTACGTCGTGTCGATAATGTAACCGCTCTTCTTTCCTATTTTCTTCTCAAAAAGTATTGGTCATTTAATTAATATTTAACGTTGACAAATAACATGTGTATATGTATATATGTGTTTAATAGATGAATCTATTAATGTCTCCGGTATATGGAAGGAACGTATATTGTAAAAGTCTCGTTTAAAAAACTATATGTATATTTAATATTAATATTTATATGTAGCCACTAAAAATAAATATAATTCTATTATATTATTATTTTATTCTATTATATCTATATATTATTGTGTATACAATTAAATATGTGTAAAAATCGAAACATTAAAAAATGAATAAATCAAACCGTATATAAATAAGATGAAAAAGATATAACAAATAAATATATTATAACAAATAGATATATGCCAACTGTAGAACGCATTCAGAGAAACACTCACGGACACAAAAATCATACAGAAGAAATTAATTATATATATATATA